ATCTTGCCATGGTAACTTTATGGAACCTTTTCTTGTCCCAAAAACTCCAATATGGTGCATGATGCATTTTAGTCATATTAAGCTGTCCTTCCAGACCCTAGAAAGGGTCCTAAGTGAATGATGTCCCAATAGCTGAATGTGTCCCGTGCATGGAGTAGGAAGGTCTTAATGGATTAAGAACATGTGTTAAGAACTTTCTGGATGTCCAAAGTGTTAAAGTTCGAGACTTTATGATTCTTAGGCATATTTGGTCAATGGATATGAAGTTTGGGCTTAAGTGCTTAAGCCATTAATCACTTATTTGAGTTTTGGAAAAACCTCGCGTACGCCCCCACATAGTTTCTGTACGCCCAGCGTACCGAGTCAACCACCCCGATGGTGGTCAACACAAATGGAAGTACGCTCAGCATACCAGAGGAGTACGCCCCGCATTCGTCCACTGTTGGGCTTTTGACATTTTGGGCTTCGGAGTTGGGCCACTCTTGGGGCCAGTTTGACATGGGCCTTGCTGGCCTTTCTGAATAATGATGTTTTGGGCCAGTTTTGGTAATGGATTTTAGAATAAGGCCAATTACGGAGTGGGAACCAATTGGAAAAAATTGGGCCTTTAATGGGCTTATGTATATGGACTTTTGGATAGTGAATTTTATATTGGGGAGAAAAGGCAAAATGGACTATGTGGATTCTTAGTCAAGATTAGTATTCCCATTTAATGACTTAATATTCGTTATTTTGGATAGTTCAGGATTTTTGGTGAGACAGCGATTCAGGAGTTCGATTCATCAGTTGAGATCGACATTGCAAGGTGAGTTATCCTCACTATACCCAAGGGTCTAAGGCACCAAGGCCCGCCCTTTGTTTATTATTATTCGGATTTGTTGCAGTTATGATAGGTTAGATCGATATCTTTGTAGATAGGATGGTTATGCTTAGTGACCTGTAGTTTGGTCTGACTGTCTGTATGCTTGTAGGAGATTACCTGTTATATATGCACATGATTGATTGGTAGTTGAGGGTATTCCATCCCGAGGATGATAGGACCTTAGTATGTTGTCTCTATAGACTGTTATATGATTATCTAATATAGATGCACATGTTTGAGTGGTTATGGGCATTCCAACCCGATAGTTGTGGACCGAGAGTATTCCATCCCGGGGATGATTAGACTCGTAGTATATGGGCATTCCAACCCGATGGTTGTGAGCCGAGAGTATTCCATCCCGAGGATGGTTACACTCGTAGTATATGGGCATTCCAACCCGATGGTTTTGGGCCGAGAGTATTCCATCCCGAGGATGATTGGACTCGTAGTATATGGGCATTCCAACGCGATGGTTGTGGGCCGAGAGTATTCCATCCCGAGGGTGATTGGACTCGTAGTATATGGGCATTCCAACCCGATGGTTGTGGGCCGAGAGTATTCCATCCCGAGGATGATTGGACTCGTAGTATATGGGCATTCCAACCCGATGATTGTGGGCCTGGGGTATTCCAACCCAACGGTTGACTGGACCCATAGTATGTTGGTATTCCAACCCAATGGTTGATTGGACCCATAGTATGCTGTTTGTGATTATACGTGTATTGTCGTGTGTATGGGTATTTTGGGGGTAACTCACTAAGCCTTCGAGCTTACATTTATCGATTATTGTTTCAGGTACAGCGGATGGCCGCGGGAAGGCGAAGGCGTGACCGTACACTTACTCGATTTATGATTATGATTTCTGGGAACTCTGATGTTTAAACTATTTTGAAAACAAATTATAATAACTGAATGGTTTTTAAATGTTTTAAAAAGTTTTAAATTGGCTCGAATTTTATGGATGTTACATTATTCAAACACGTTTTTATAAACAAAAATGTAAACAAACACGATTTTATAAAAAAAATATAGATAAAATAGGTGTTTGTATAAATTTTTTTTGTAAAATACGTTTTTATATACATTTTTTTTATAAAAACGGATTTGTATATATTTATATACTTCATAAATACCTATTTTTATAACTAGATATTTCATATACATTTAAAAAAAGTTTTTATATAGAAAATATAAGATATTTATGTAAAAATACGTTTTTTTTTGTATAAATATAATTTTATAAAGAAAAAACATATTAGAAACAATTCTTTGAGAAAAAAAGTTGTAAAAAAAACTAAAGTTAGGATGAATTCATAATAAAATTCTAAAATTTGTGCAAAAAGTGTAAAGTTTGGACAAATTTGTAACAAAATTTAAAATCTGAGCCATAAGTATAAACTTTTGATCAAATTTGTAATAAATTATAAAATCTGGGCTAAAAATGTAATTTTTGAAAGTTGGATTACCTGTTGACTAGGTTAAAGGGTTAAATTGAATACGATTACCGGTGTTTAGGACTTAATTGAATAAGAAAAAAAATATAGGGACTAAATCGATTATAAGACCAATACGTAGGGACTTTATTGCAGATTTCTCTTATTTTAATTCCTTTATCTCAACCATATATCGCATTTGAACTGACCAAAATATACATTGTTTAATCAAAATACCATTTTATACATATTACCTGTTCATTAAGCTATTTCACCCATTCTAAGACACTTTTTTCAACTACATTACAACAATCTAATAATAATTTATTCCCTCTTCATATCATTAAAAATTATTCTTTATTCACATATGAATAAATGATAAATATATACCATAAACTCATTATCTATTAAAGTAGTGTTTTGGTGTGACGTATTAATCTTTAGTGGTTATCAACTAAGAAAAAATTGAATGGCATGGGAATATATGTGAATATATGTTGGTGAGATTTCATGCCCCTAATGTGAAGGACATGTACAGACCTTAGATCATCTAATTACAATTTGTCCTTTGGAGAGTTGTATTTGGCAACAAATTTGCGTTGGTAGAATACAAATTTCCTTGGTTTTTCATTAGCTAAGGGTTGGATTTGTTCAACAAATACTTTGTGGCTAATGGGTTCAACCAAGAAAGAGTTTGACGTTGTTGTCCATATGGTGTGTTGGCCTATTTAGACTTTTCAGAATTTGCCAGATCCATACTACAACAAATTCAAGGCTTGCCACTTTATTTGATAATATCTTTTCCCAATCGTATTTTTCGATTTGCAATAGATATCAAAAAAGTAAAAATCATTTGATTGACTGGTTAAATATCTTCATATCGTCTTTGTTAAATAATCTTACTATGGTCTTGGGATTCCTTCTATTTGTTTCTAACATCAAATTAGGTTTTAATAAAATACTTGTGATAGTTAAAAAAACACTAACTCGGAATTCAACATAATATATGCTTAAAAGTATTTTGGGACAAAAAGAAAAATCAAAGGTTTTTATTAATATTTTGATAAGAAAAAAAAACTAAAATGATTAGTTATTGGGAGACTGGTTAAACAATGCTCGGTTAGGGTGTTTTAAGATGAGCCCCTTACCCGATATGAGACCCATTTCTCCAGCCCTGGCTAGCTAGTACCAAAAGGTTTTCAACTCTAGCGATAGGTTCTTGTGCGCTTCAAGGCCTGATTATATACACCTTGAAGTTATATTGTTCATTGGGGTGGAATTGGTAGGTACCAACTCATTTTTTTTACTACACCGTGTACCGTACCAATTATAGTTGGTACCAAAAATTTGTTACCGCTACCGTACCAAGTATAGTTGGTACCAACTTATTTGGCTACCAATAAGTTTAGTTGGTACATGTTGGTAATGGTATATACCAACATGTGTGGGGGTTTTGTTAATGACGATTTTCGTGTTTTTGAGCACTGCGAAACTTCAATGAGACTTTTGTGAATAAGATTTTCCTAATAGTTGAGATTGAAAATTCAATCCAAAATGATTTTATTAGTTTCTATCATAAGTTTATAAGTTTAAGTGGTGGAGGAATATTTGACATATCAATATAAGTTTAAAACTTTAAATTTTACTAATTTAGTAAATGTTAATATCAAAGCTCCTAAATCATAAGTACCAAACATATTAAAAATTTAAATACACTATATATATATATATATATATATATATATATATATATATATTAAATTGGTTGTATGATACTACCGTAGTATTGAAATCTTTATACCACTACCGTACCATGATTTTGCAATTAGTATGGTACTATCAGTAACATGTTGTTTGGTTTTTCGTGTTACATATTTTTCAGCCCCATTGTTCATTATTGTGTTGCCATTCGATAAAACAATCTTGGTGTTCTACAATTTTACCGAACGACACATAAGTTCTCATTATAGTGACATTTTTATAACTCTTTTTTTATTTTTAAAAGTTGTTAGGATTTGGTAGCTTAGAGTGCTGCCGTCAAAAAATAAGGGAGAAATAGTTAATTTCAACGTTAAATCAAGAGAGAAATCGGTAGAAGTTCAGCGGTGAACTTTACCGCTGGCAAAAAAATAGGTTGAGGGGCGGTGTTTGCCGACGGTAATAGGTGTCAGATAAGAATATCGCCGATAAGAGTTGTATAACACCGTTTAGGCTCATTGTAAATATAATTTTAATCGCATTGAAAAACTTTTTAAAATTTCAGTTTATTTAAACTTCAATGTTATAAGACAAACAATTTGTAGACTTTAAAATATAAAGTCTTTTTCTTGTAAATGTAAACTGGAAACATTTTGTCCATATTTTTTCTACCACCTCTTAAAAAATAAATAACACCTAAACATGTCAATATCTATACGAAGAAAGAAAATACATCCTATTATTATTTTAGTCTTGAACTCATAACTATCACATTCTAGAACTCAAATAAATACCATCACAATTAAAAATCACGGATCATATTACATAACACATATCAAGTCTTTACTCAATTGACATCAAGAGCTGATCTTTTCGACCAAATTGTTCGTGGGTTAGATAGTCGTCACTATTACCAGATTCTCATTACACCTCTTTTTAAAATTCTCATGTCTCTAATACAGCCCTTCTAACTCGATAACCCAACAAAAACCTCTCTCGAACACCATTTACTGCAACCATGACTCGTATAAAGAATAAGAGGGGAACATCCCTTCCAACTGCTCAACCCCAACCACATCATCAAGAAGAGAGTCCGAGCCAGTGAAGTACATACCTTTTTCATCACCACTTTCAACTGCCTTCTCACCTTGTGGACTCGTGGTTGGAGTCAAGGCTGGTGCAACAGGATCGAAGCAATTACGATCAACATTGTAGCGGCTAATATCGGAGTCACGACCTGTGAGCTCCTGGACAAGGGATCGAAACCTTGAGACGCTGGTCTTAACCTTCATAGGAGAAGATATGTAGACGACTTTAAGCTTGTTTTTGGTGTGTTTCTTTCTGGTGCAGTTGTGGGTGGGTTTGACAGGAAGCATTTCCATGGCGGTTTAATTAGGGTTTGATTCGTTAAAGGAAAAGGATGGTGTGTTTAAATAAGGCACGTACGAGAAAAGTGTTGGTTGCTTTGAAAACGAAGGTTACAAAGAATCGAAGATTCTATAGACAAAATTAAGATACTTGGATGACCCGTAATTTTTTTTTTGGTTGTGGACTGAATGCTTATGCGCAGACATCAATGACTTCAGCCAAGTTTTCGTAATTATAGTCATGATAACGAAAAAGAAATATTGGTTAATTTTTTCAAGTATTATTATTCTCTTGTCAACACAAGGTAAATAAATATTAATAAGATAATATTAACATAATTCTCAGTGCGTAACGGCATCGGTTTTCATTGTGTCTTAGACTCTTAGTTTCGTGGCGTTTCTAGAGAGACTCCGATTTTGTATCGGTTCAAACTTTACACCTTTTCTTGTAGTATAAAACAAATTTCATATTGGATTTTCCATAAACGCATGTCTTATTTTCTTTTCGGTAAATTTTCAATTGTTATTTATACTTTATAATAATACAAATGTTTTAGTACATCCAACAAAGATGTAATATTTCCTTTTTGCAGAAGTATTGTGAATACAAATGTTTTAGTACATCCAACAAAGATGTAATATTTCCTTTTTGCAGAAGTATTGTGATAAGAAAGACACGCAACGGCCGAAGCATTATTAGCCTGAAGGGATTGGTGCCACCGAAACCGCACTCCCTCCCCCGCCACAAAAGCGTTACGTCATTTTTTACTATAAGTGTGGTTTCTTGCCACACCAAGGGAGTGGTGCCACACTTTTATTTATTTTTATTTTTTTGTTTTTTTAGCTATTTTAATTAAAACTTCTTTTTTAATAAAAAAAAAACATAATTTTTCATTACTTGAAAATTAAAAAAAACATTACATTAAAAATTCAAAAAACATTACATCGCATTACACACAAAAAAAAAGAAAAAAAAAACCACACACACATGACATTAAAATAATCCTAAAAACTTAAAAAACACAAATAAAATAGCTAAAGCAAACTACATAAAGTCGTTATCCGATAACTCGTCTCCGGAGTCATCCGGTGGATCCAAATTAAGGTTAATGTTTTGAATCCCGTAAATGTGTTCCACCAAGTCATTGCGAAGATTGTGAAATGTTTCAGTGCAACGTATCTCTGCTCTCCTGTTCATATACTCTTCGCTACCAATTTCTATTGGTTGTGTCTCTGGTATGGTTTCTTCCTTTTTAAACGCACATATCGCTCTTCCTTCGTCTTCAATAATCATGTTATCCAATATGAGACATGTATACATGATTTCTTGAAGTTTTTCCTCGCCTAAATAACTTGCTGGTTTTTTTAATATGAACCACCTTTTCTTCAGAGCTCCAAAAGCACGCTCAACATCCTTCCTAGCTCTTTCTTGAGCTCTCTTGAATTTCTTTCGTCTAGAACCATGTGGACATGTAAATGATTTAACAAACACAGCATACTCAGGATAGATTCCATCGACCAAATAATAACCATACTTATATGGCGTTCCACACACTTCAAAAGAAGACTCTGGTGCGGATCCATCGTATATGGTGTTAAATATATGTGAACGATTAAGAACGTTGATGTCGTTAATCGAACCAGGAGAACCAAAAAAAGCATGCCAAATCCACATATCTTGTGATGCAACTACTTCAAGTATGACCGTTGGGTGACCATGATCACCTCAGGTAAATTGCTCATGATATGATGTAGAACAATTTTCCCATGCCCAATAGAAACAATCTAAGCTTCCTAGCATTCCAGGAAACCCATGCACACTAGCATGATGAGCTTGCAATTGCAGGATGTCATTACGTGTAGGCTTACGTAAATATTTTGGACCATAAAACTGAATCACAGCTTTGCAGAAAAAGTGGAGACTGTCTCGTGCGATCCTAACAGACATCCTAAAACTTTCGTCTAACGCATCAGGCGAAATGCCATATGCTAACTGACGAAGTGCGGTCGTGGATTTTTGTAAGGGAGTGAAACCGGGTGTACCTCCCTCGTTACATCTTCAACTATACGATCGTATAAACCTTTGAACATTCTGAAGCGCGTACGAAAATAATACCATTGAAAAGTGGCATTCTCTTCAAAATAGTCTTGCACCAAACGTTGGTTGGCTTCTTCACGATTTCTGGAAATATATCTTCGTGTTCTCCGTTGAGAAGTAGCAGTTGCGTTGTTGCATACAAGATTGTACGTTTGTTCCGTCATTTGAGCACACGCAACAGCGATATCAAAAATAGTCTGAAATTCTTCAGAAGATGAAGAAGATGACATTTTTGAGAGAGTGGTGATTATTTTTTTAAATTTTGTAAGATAAAAGATATTGTATTGTGGTTAAAAACAAATGAAGTGGATATGTATAAATAGGAAATAAAGGCAAAAAGAAAAATAAATTAATTACGCCAAAACCCACATTCAACGGTCAAATATCCATCTACCAATCACGTGACACGGTACAAACTAGCTGCAGTGCGGCCAAAACCGCCCAAGACCGCCGTCTGAGGGCGGTGTGCGCGGTCCAGGTGGCACGAACCGCGGTCCCAGGCCGCAGCCACACTGTATAGCCTTAGCGGCGCCATGGAGTAGGACACAGGCTTCGCCACTACATTGATTTGACTTGTTCTCACGATCCTAATCCAAAAGGCACCACAGTACGTCATTCTTTATGCCTACGCTTAATTAACAGAAAATTGATTATTTTTGTATATTAATTAATTTTTATTAAATACATATATGTAGCGTGAGCATGATACGGTTTTTGGCTGAAACGGCATATAGATCAGTTTTTAACTTCTTAAAACCGCACATATCGGTTTTTCGCTCACTTTTATGTTTGGTCGGTTAGCAGTTTTAGCTACGGTTCAGTTTTTATGTTGCTCGGTTCGACTTATAAATTACAATAGGTATATTACATATACATATTGAAATTTTTGAATCATTAACTATAGTCCTGTTTAAATTTATAATAATTCGAACACAAGTATAAAGTGACTTTGTATCTACTTAGTGAATAAAATGTTAAATGAAAATAAAACTGCTAAGATTTAAAGTAATATTTTATAGTCAAAATATGCATATTGTAAGTCTTTGGAACTAAATTTTGAAAGTGAAACTCTCATTTCTTGGGTTATTAATTGTGGCTTATTTTAGTCGGTCCTAATTGAAAAAATAAATAAAAAGAGTAATATATTTTGTAAATATTAAATATGTAATATCTATTGTTTTGGTCAAAAAAACGATCAAGGAAATATCAACCAAATTGCATGAGAGGTTATGGTGTTGCAATCAATATGGTTATAAAATAAAATGAAAGTGACACGAGTGATATTACAAGGAAATACATTGATCATTGCTACGATCCCATTGATCATTGCTACGATCCCTAGCATAAAACATTAGAAGGTGATAATGATCATCTGCCTTGTTTAATCTTATTAATGTAACACCCACCCAAATAAGGTATTTCCATTTTTTACTAAAAGTATTAATTTGTTGCAAAAATAGTCCTTACGTCGGACGTTCTTGGGGCGTAAGTTGGGCATAAGTTATTAAAAGGTGATGCGGATGCTTTTGAGTACGCATGGCATACTCAAGGGGTACACAGGGCGTACTCGGCTCATATGCTAACCCTAAATCCAGGGTTTTGAGCCCTATTTAAACACCTTAACCCTCATAAATCCCTTCCACCTTTATCCTCCATCCTCCCAAAATCCCAAACGATCCCTTGCAAACTCTAATATTCATTTGAGGGTTTTTGAGCTATTTGGGTGTTTAGTTTTCATCTTTGAAAGGAAAAGATCATTGGAGTGCACTTGGAAAGCTTCAAGTATTGTAGAAGTAGGAGTTGTCTACGGAGCTGTACGAGCTGCTGGACAAGGGGTTTATCAGACCAAGTAGTTCGCCCTAGGGAGAACTGTGAGAACAAGATCGATGCGCAGGGACAAGGTTTGAAAACTCAAAACTTGAGTGAATACTTAAGATCAATGTCTGCTTGCTAATAGATGTTCAAGTAAAGGCTGGAAAGACCAGTCAAGTCTTAGATAATATAATCAACAAATGATCAAGTCATTAAATGAACAACAAGAATAATTGATCAAGGTAAAGCTAATAAATAAAGAACAAGAAGAATGTTTTGAATAAACTTAGAGAAAAATGCCAAAAGTGAGTGAAAGATCCGTTGTTGACTTGTATTGAATGCTCCTATAAATAGGAGTGAAGGTTACAGCGAATTAAGTAAAGTGCTTACATAGGACTGGACAAAAGAAATGATTCTGACATTCTGATTGTCCAAATACAATTACAGACTAAGTCATATGAAACGTTACATCAATACAAAGACGAATATAATAAATGCACAAAAGACAAAATAGAGTTGCTCCGGATCAACATCCATTCCGGAAATGAGAGTCATTCCGGAATGCCTTCAGTCTTCACGTCTTCTTACTTAGTCCAGACAGATTCCGGACCATTCTCCACTTCGGAACATACACACTTCGGAATGAGTACTTAGGATTGCTAGAGGTTCACTTTCAGGTTCCAACAATCTCCCCCTAAGTGAACTTAGCAATCCAGCAAACTTAGTTCATTTCTTCCTTGATGAAGGTGTAGGCTCTAAACAAACACTCTCAGGCTGCAATGTACCAAGCCAATTGACTTACAAACTTATCCTTGACCTGTTCCGGAGCATCAGACTTGGACGCTCGGGATATGAACTTCTTCAGAGCTTTGGTCGGAACTAGATGTTTGTCAAGGACACGGAATAAATCCTTCTTGTTTGTCTTTCTGGTTGTGTAGACAAACCCTAGAACCGGTTCTTCAATGGGACCATCTGCAAGAATTTCAGCTTCTGGAAGAACAAAGTCGATTTTGGCAACGAATTGTTCAGTTCCGTATAGGTGTGCAAGCTCATAATCTCGTCGGCAAAACTCAGCAACATAATCTTTCAGAAAGCTCAGAGTTGC